GTGCAGACTATTATGGCGCCTAAAACGCACCAAAAAATAATGTCCTCTAAGTAAAGTTTTTAACTCTAAGCATTTTAAAAATCCAAAAAACTCTAAAATTGATCATAATATAGAAAACAGTAATATTTCTACGTACAACAATAAATATTAAAAAATATATAAATTAGAAAAGAGAACAATAATACAATACATACTATAAAACAAAAATTGGTTAGATAACAATTATATCAACATCAAGTTAGTTAGTAAAGTTTTATTGAGTTTTAGTTTCTTATCAAAAAAAGGTTTTCGTGTATATCATCTTAAGATAATTTCATATTTTGATGTTTTAAAATCTTTAAAGGTAGAAAACTTGCAAATAAAAACAAAAAATAGAGAAAATGGAAAAGAAAACTTATGTTGAAAATTAGAAAAGAAGAAGAAAAAAATATATACAATTTTTGTAGAAAGGATTGAAAAAAGCAAAATTCTGAGAAATGAAAAGATGACTTTCAGTTAATAATACAGAGATAAATACTTAGTTTTGTTTAAGAACTTACCAACCAATATTGTAGTCAAGTGCTCGTTCAACTACCTCTTTATCAGGATGGGAATAAACATAATAAGGTTCAACCCAAAAAGGTGATACCACTATGCCTATAGTACCATCTGGTGAGATCTTTTGCAAAAAAAATTTGATTAACTTTTTCTTAATATAATAATTATTTAATTCAAAAATAAACGTTTTTACGGTAGAACGTAACTCTCTTCTGAGAGATTTTGAAAACTGAAGTTATATGAATACCGAAATATAATTTGAACTTGAGTTGAAAATAAAACTTGCAGACTATCCATGTAGTTGTTGGAGATGAACTATGGCTGTCGACAAGGTATATTATGTAAATGAACTCGACCCGGTTGAGAAAGAGACGAACGAAGAAAGCCAAGACGGCTTAGAAAAAAAAATAGGCAAGTTCATCAATTAATATAGAATTAATCACGAAAAGAAAGTCAGTTCACAAACACATAAAAGTCAGCACAAGAACTAGAATTTACATAGATTGTCTTTGTTGTTGCCGAATTATTGTTTTTACCAATTTCCGAGTTATATTCCATGTAATTGATTGTTGATCTTCCAATAATTGACATTCAAATAACTCACATCAAATTTATGATTTCACCTTGATCGTGCTGAATTCAGATTTAACAGTGGTGTCTGCCTCCAACGGATTGAATCCATGGTGTACGGTTTCTTACTTGTTTTTGTCAATGAGGTGTATGATTCGAGAAGGAGAAGTAGGAGTCTCTCCATGCCTTCTTGCTTTTCTTTCTTTCCATATGCTATAAGTCGATATTTGGAATACGTATCTAGCAAGGAAGAAAAGAATATGACTGATACTATCATCTGAAATATATTGTAGCAAAGAGAGGCATTATGGTCTGGTGTAGCATGAACCGAGAAGATTTGTTGCTAATGTAGCCAACACTTCTGAACATAATCCGTAAGAGCGCCTCCAACGGTGGAGATGTTAATTTAAGGTTTTTATTAATAAAATGTTAATTATTTNCTAGCAAGGAAGAAAAGAATATGACTGATACTATCATCTGAAATATATTGTAGCAAAGAGAGGCATTATGGTCTGGTGTAGCATGAACCGAGAAGATTTGTTGCTAATGTAGCCAACACTTCTGAACATAATCCGTAAGAGCGCCTCCAACGGTGGAGATGTTAATTTAAGGTTTTTATTAATAAAATGTTAATTATTTTAATTTCAATTAATTATGTATTTAAATTTTAATTGTAAAAGAACAACCGGCCATTGACTGATAAACATGTGGATTTACCATTACACATAAGGTTCTTACAAGTGTTTGGTTGAGACTTTTCAATTTCTTTTCTTTTTTCATTTATTTTTATTTGTTTTGTGTCAGAACACTCCACCTAAATACATCCGATAGATGTGCTCTAAGAGAAAAGGACGTAAACAAATTTATAATCATTATTACAATGGATTTTACAGCTATGTATTAATACAGATATTTTCCAACTCTTTAATATGTTGAGATAATATACCTTGTCACAAAATTTATATATATGTAACCTTGTCACAATTTTTGAACTCTACATGAGCATATACATGTATAACCTTGTCACAAATTTTGAACTCTACAACAGCTGCAGCCTGAGCTACAAGAAGATGATGAGAGAGAAAGTGTGACTACAAGTCCCAGCTTAATTGGCATATTCTTACCCTAGTTAAGAAACTAATCAAATGATAATCAGAGAATTTTACAAGTTAATCTTGTATGAAAAACATTATATCGTATACGTATATTTTGTAATCTACCATATAACAAAGATTTTGACGCATGATTCTGATTTTTTCCTAATATTTCAGATCATCTGCAATGCAGACCACAGCTTCTTGATACTCTTAAACAGATCCATCGGTGTCGGTTGATCCGATCTCTCTAGGAAAGTTTTGAACCATTTGGCTGAATCTTTAGCATATCGTTTTAGATCATCTGCATAATCAACGTAGTAGAGACCAAACCTCATCGCGTAGCCATGTTCCCATTCAAAATTATCTAACAACGACCATGCGAGATATCCCCTCACATCACACCCATCTACACTGTATTTATGTAATATAGTATAAATTAATTTCATAGCAAGTAGACTATTATAGTCACTATATATATATATATATAGGGAAGTTTTCTTACGTGATAGCTTTATGGAGTTCTTGAAGATGTTTTTCATGGTACTGTATTCTTTTTGTGTCCTTTAATAGTTGTTCACGTGGAACTGTCCCAACATTGTAGTCATCAAATCCTGCAATATATTTTTGGTTAATTAGTTAAACTAGTTAGGTGATTAGTGATAACTGGTGAAATCCCCGTGATTTTATCGAACGTTCTTACCATTTTCAGTTATGTAAATCGCTGGGTTATTATATTTATATTTGATATAATTTAGAATCTTTCGTATGCCTTCAGGATATGAGTAGAGAAGTTTTGTTCCATCCGACTCTGAAGAGATGTAATCACCGCTACGATTTATCACTATAAGAAAGAAAAACAAAGAACCTTTTGTATCAACGAATGTTATATAGGGATTTTATTTATTTACTGATCATGTTAGGGATTTAAAAAACGTATTCATGAGGGTCGAACCTTTATACTCGAGATGTTGATCCGTTGTGAAACGAAGTCGTGTATGGTCGTGATGATGCTTGTGGGCAACGAATCTAGCAGTGTAGTAGTTTATTCCGATGAAATCAAAAGAGTTTTTGATAAATTCTGATTGTTCTTTGGTAAAATGAGGCAATCTGTTCCCAGCGTTCTTCTTTATCGTTTCAGGATAATCTCCAAAGGTTAGAGGATGAAGATGCCTACATAGATAATACAATAATCGATTAATTCTTTGCCAAACTAATATGAACGTAAATCTGTAACTAAGATAACTTACCAACCAATATAGGAATCAAGAGCTCGATTAACTGCTTCTTTATCAGCATGCGAATCAATATCATAGGGTTCGAACCAAAATGGAGACAACACTATGCCTATCTTAGCATCTTGTGAAATCTGTTTGCAGAACATATTGATTATTATCCCAACCAAGATTCAAGGTTTTATATCTTATGAACAAATTACTCCAAACTTTCTAGCTCAGTATGTTGTCTTATATATATATACCTTGTCACACTTTCTAAATTCTTCAACAGCTGCAGCATGAGCTAGAAGAAGATGGTGAGATACTAAGTAAGGTTCCGTGCCCGAATCACCAGCAACACATAAGCTGTTTACCCATTTCGAGCACCGTCCCATTGCTTTGTTACCACTGTCGTAACCCGCAACACTATAAACATACGGTTCGTTGAAGGTTGTCCACATATCGACCTTTCCACCGAATTCTTCGAAGCACACTCTAGCGTAGTTCCGGAAATCATCACTGTTTTGCAATCATCAACAAAAATTAAAGAATAAGTATTAACTCTACGTCCTAGATTTTATAGTGAACATAAGAATCTAAATTTGTTACGTACATGACTCGAGGGCTTAAGAAGCCGCCATACTCATCGTCTAAAACTTGAGGGATATCCCAGTGGTAGATAGTTACAAAAGGTCTTATACCTGTATAAAATATGTTTAAGTATGATGTCATCAGAATACCATAAAGTTTAAAAGGTTATATATATATACTCCTTTAAGTACACATGAATCTGACCGTTCTCTATAAGTTCATCAATGAGGTTTTTGTAGAATTGTATTCCTTCAGTGTTTACCCCATCACTTAGCTTTCCACCTGAAATATTCAAATTTTGAAAAATCAATAGATGAGTAGGTATATATTGTAAACAAAAGTATATATACTCTTACTACACAATTTTTTTCTATAACTACAACTCACTTGGTAATATTCTTGACCAGGAGATGGAGAATCTGAAAGTATCCATATTCATTTCCTTGATTAATTTTATGTCATCCTGCTCATTTAATACAAAATGTTATTGAATAAAGGGTTGGTCAAGTTATATGTCCCCCCTCCCCCATTTTTTTCAGGAAAACATTTCCTAAAGTACATTTAATAAGTACGACGTACTTTTATGGCAAATTATCTTAAAACTAAAAGTTCCTCACATCGTAAATAGTAATCATACCTTATAACGATGATAAAAATCAACGGCTATGTCTCCGTTGTCCATATTTGTTCTCTCTGCAAAACTTTACCATGTTACTTACTATTTATAGAGAAGAAGCTATTTCCAAGGTATATTTGTAATTAGTAGTTAAATTATCACTAATAACAGTGTTAATAAGTATATATTAGCTAACTTATTTTGTGAAAAAATTTATGAAGTATATAATAAAGGCAGACCTGGATGTGCGTGTGTGAAGTTGTCCCAAATGCTCTGCGTCCTCCCTCCTTCTTCAATAGCACCTTCATACTGAGTCACATGAAAGTATTTTAGAGGTGATAGATCTAAAATACTCCCTCTATTTAGATATGTATATATATTTTAGAGTAAAATATATCAAATTTTGATTATAAATACGTAATAATCAGTGATTGTATATTTCTTATCATTTTATACTAATAAAATTTTAATAAAGATTATCAATTTTTCTGACCCGCATTTTGGAAAAACTAATAGTTAATGACTGTCTATCTAACATAAACTATATATTACCAATGTGTAAAGAATCAGGTAATAGATCTAAAATATATATTATCTGATGTCATAACTAATTTTAGGTAACACAATCATATATAAACCAAATAACCTGATAAGCCGAAGAAGCAACACCAAAACTAAAACCAGGAGGAAAGCTATAACGATCAAGTTTCTTCGAAAATGTAAGAGATCGTCCCTTTGAAACGGCCAATGAGGCTACAAAGACAGTGACTAGAAGTGCAAGCTTAATTGCCATTTTTACAAGACTAATTAAGCAAATTAATTAATGATTACTTAGAATGTAACTCTATGGCTATATGATGCTTGTATCCTGAGAAATGTTATTGCACATGGAAGGGGTTATATAGAGAGAGGAAGCTAGGGAGTGGGAATAATCAGACTATGAAATTTAATTTCGAGTCTTGATCAGTAGGCTTGACTTATATTCATTATATTAATAAAATAATCCTCATAACAGAAAGTTGTTTTGTTGAGCAGTATTAATTAATGTAATTTTGGGCACGATTTCATAATATTTCTTAGGATTTTAGCAAACAAAAAAAAAGAGATTTCATAAACTTTGTTACTTTTGTAAATGATAGTTTTTTTTAACAAACTGTAAATGATAATTAAAAGTGTTATTTGACTAGGTGTTTGTTCTATGATGTGCAAATGTCGAACTTTTTTTTTTCTTTCTGAGATTCACATGGATAATGAAACTATGCTGGTCTCAATAATTTTGATTTTCTTTGTTGTTGTTTTTAACTTTCTATAACATAATAAATGTATTTGACGTGAGTATGCTCGCCCCAACCTAGACTTTCCTTTAACATTGTTGTTGTTGTGCAAAAAAAAAAGAAAGACCATTAAAGCAACAAATATATTTGGCATGCCCTTTTTCATATATATATATATATGGTTACAATTCAAAAAAAAAATTGTTACGGTTTAATTAAATCTGTTTGATATACATATATACTTTCATAAAATACTCAAATGTTGTACAAATTAAACGTTCTTACTAGCAAGAAGACTAACAACATAATATTCATGAACTTTTCCATGTTCCATGCAGTTTCTTCTGATCAATAAACTACTATTAAGGGTCTCTCACATTTCACTCACTATTAAACTACATAAAATATTTACAAAAGAGGAATGATAAAAATATTTTCACGTACCACGTTTATCTAGTGGTTCAATAACTTAAAAATAAAAAATTATTATATAATCAAATATTAATTTATTACCACTGCCGATTGTTAAAGATGCGACGGAAAGAACCAGTGATTAATTTGAGATTTTCATAGCTAAAATTTAAATAAATAATATAATAAATGGTAATAGATTTTATACATAACCTCTTCCTTGTTAACGTTACTTCTTAGTACTATTTAATATTTATTGATATCAAAGAGTTATAGTCTTTTTAATAAATTAAAACATAAATTATTAGATATAAGTTATATATAATAAAACATATAAAAATTTTACACATATTTCCAATTTAGAAAATCAAATATAAAATCAGTATTATTTTTTTTAAACATTTTGCTAGGAAATCAGTATTGTTTGAATATATATATGAATGATCTATTAAATATACAGTTATTTTAAAGTAGAAAGTATGTCTAAGCATATTTTTTCAAACAAATTAAGTGTTATAATAAAAATAAAAAAATAAAAAAACTAATAAAATATATATTTCTGTATATATCTAATTTTTACTATTATTTAAAATAATAACTAAATTTTGCTAATATTCCATAATATCCATCAAGACATTATTAAATACCTATTTTATGTTATTGAGAAAATTTAACTCTATCTAATTCGTCAACAACAACCAAAATATTTTTTTTAAACTTTTCATATTACTTTCGTCGTTTAACAGTTAATTAATAATGACTAAAACATATTTGTTCTCAAAGAAGTAATCTTTTGCAAAATAAATAAAGACATTAACACTGGAAGAGCACATTGATGGAGGTCTTTTATAATAGTAATCTGATACTCAAGTTAGAAAACACATAAAAGAAAGAAACACCACGAGCATAGAAGGCTGTTAACCAGAAAGAAAAAAGTTAGAAAATGGAAAAGAAAATAGTGTTTGGATCACACAATTGGAACTTCAATGAACAGTCTCTCAGATTTGACCTTATATACTAATATAAATAGAAGTAATTGTTTTTTTTTTTGAATAGTAAATAGAAGTAATTGTCGCATAAATATATGACAATCACGATTCTTTCTCCTGATTTTTTTGTTCTTGTTTAACACATGTAAAGAAATTTGAAATACACCTATCATAAAACTTCGCATAAAACACCACCAATCTGAACAACAATGTTTTTGCTTCTACTGACGACCTTATCCAAGTTTCTATTTCAGTAAAGTTTCCATTTCTGAAAAAAAATTGGAAGCTTTATTTCGAGAGATTCAATCTAAACTTTGAATTCCCATGTTCTAGTTAGCTGCATCTTTTCGTTGATTATTTCCAACCAACCAGTGGCAAATGTGAAGAAAACTATGTAACATCTACTAGTGTATAACTACTACAATAGATAATCTAGTTTTGAAGCATGTTCTATTTTTTATGAGTCGAGTTTGACTGGAATCATGCATACTTTTATTTTATTCCTTATTTAAACCGAAGATAGGGATTTAGAGGATCAACCGTTGACTGATATTGTTGATGTTAAGAGAGTGATATATATAAGTATACATATGGTATTAGATTTGTCTGCCGGATAACAGGAGGGACATGCATCGGTCAACATTTTGTGTGGAGATTGCGAGGATAATGGGAGGGACTTGTGTACCACACATGAGCATGTTAGAGTACATGGAGGGATTTCATTATTACCCATATTTTAACATACATGGAGGGACTTCTGCATCATGTATGAGCTGCAGGAGTACGTGGAGGGACTCTTGTACTACGTAGCAATGTACTGGTTGTCATTGCATTGCGTGTTTTGTATGGTAAATATGCACGGTATCTATTATATTAGGGCTAGACTCCCATTTTCAGAGTTCTAAATTTGAACTAGTGGTTTGCATGTTTATCATCCAATATCTTATTGATTGACTTCCATGTTACTTACCCTTTCTTCTTCCTTTGAAGGTGAGCAATGAGCATGATGAGTAGTTGGATTACCAAAGGGTTTATGTGTTGAGATTGTCACTATCTTATCTCAGATTTATATTATTTTTGATGGGTTTATTTCAGTTACTGGTATACAAATATTTTCTTCCGTTTTTATTTTATCAAACATTTCAACATTATATTCAGTTTATATAATTTAGTTAATTTCAAATTCTCAAAAAATATGAGATATGTGTTATATCTTCTTTGTTACGCTCTCACAGTTGCCTATATATGGTATAAGATTTGAGGCATTGGCCTCAGGCCCCTTTCATATTAGAAAATTTTAGGACTTTAAATTTACAAATTCATAAACAAAATGTTAATATTACTGAAAACGATGTTTTCTTTTTTATAATTCAAATTCAAACATTCATCGCTATTTTTATTTATTATTGTGGACACTCACTATCTTTTTAATGTTGGAACTTTTTATATATATATATTAAAAAACAATTTCCCACAAAAAAATTAGCCCTTGCCTTTAGAAGTTTGTATGATTTTTCTTTCATATAATAATTTTAAAATCCAACGTAACTAAATAGTAAATACTTTTATTTACCTTTTATATTAAAAGTTATTATTACACTAATATTATTATTTGTGGTATTTTTTAAATAAAAAATTGTCTTAGGCCCAAATACTCTAGGCACGACACTGCGCTCTCATCAAACATTGTATAAACTTACATCTAATTTCATAGGTCTTGTATCTTGCCACTTAAGATATTTTTAGAAAACTATAAAAAAAAATTTTCAGAATGCTTTTTTTTTTTTTTAATTTGTGGTTTTATCAATAAACTTCTCATATTAATACCGAAAATAATTGAGTTTGGTAATTATTATTTTAATATCGAATTTACAACGTTTTTGCATCTCCAAATAACAACTTAAAGACGAATAAGCATTGAAAATAACAGTTTATAACTAAATAATGTTAATTGTCATGTTTTTTGTTTGGTACGATATATGTTGTTTGTCGATTTGCTCTTAACATTTCTTTATTATGACAAAATAATATAATCAATAGCTGTTGTAAAAGAAGACCATATTACTTATAAAATTTCCAAAGTGGCATTACTTATTTTATATCGGAAGTTGAATTAGCGATTTCCACGTACGTCTACCAATAGTTTTATTTAAGTGAGAGATGTGAAACGTGATAAATCCTTTTGTATATTAATTTCTATGATCTCAGTGAAATGAAAAATGTCATTTCTTATAATAACCACTAGACTAAGATCTACGTATTACGCAGAAAAAAAATTATATATACAAAAATATTTTATGTATCATTATTTATTTTCTCTTCTTTTACATATTATAAAATAATAAATATATATATTAAATAATTGAGAAATCAATAACAATTATGTAATAATTAAATTAACGCGGCCACATAAATTTAAACAATGACTCTTGTTTATTTACAAAATAAATCTGAACAATCAATTTTATATATTTTATATGATATATAGTTAAATTTAAATAATATGAATATATATATATAGTATATATTTAATTTGGATATCTATTAAATGAACTTCATACTCATATATTTCTATGATAATTTATATATATTTTAATAACAAATTTTAACAACTATTTTAAATCATTGATAATTTTTTTAATGTAAAACGTTTAATATTAACATTAATTCATATAAATTCTGCCACTGATCATAAAGGTATTTCAAACAAACAATCAAGCTTTAGTTTATTTTTTTTTCTGAAAACAATTAAAGCTTTAGGAAAACTCGATCATGGAGTTTTGGTGGAAAAACATGCTTTGTATTTTGGGTGGAATAACTCCTTTTTCAGTTTTGGCAGAAAATCCTGTTTTAAATGAGAAATAAAAATTTACAGTTTTGGAAAGAAAATACGAATTTGTGGGTTTTGCAGAAAACATAGTTTTGCCATTTGTGCGGGTAAACACAATTTTATAGTTTTGACGGAATAATCTTTTTATACAGTTTTGACAGAAAAATATATTTTATAGTTTGTTGGGAAAACATGATTAAATTTGTTTTATCAAAAAGTTTATATATATGGGATTCAGGTTAGATTTGGTTTATTAAAATTAAATTAGATACATGAGAAAAATAAGTAA